GTTGGATTTTTATTACTTCTAAGGTTGCCTAGTAGGAACTTGGCAGGAGTCAGAAGACAAAGCCTGTGTGATAAGATGCTTCTCATTGCTTCATTGGTGGTACCTTGTATCTGCATGAMGTTATGAGGGCTTCCAGGTAATTCTGAATTCAGAAATACCATGAGACAGTAATTCTGAATTCAGAACTGCCATCATTTCTGTAATTCTGCAAGTCTGCCCACCATCTATGAACACACTGTGGCCTGGGTGCCAAAGATGCCTGTTTGGGAGCTCTGACAGTGTCAAAGCTGTGTCTGGTGGTAGGTAGCAGTGTTCTCAGAGAAACTGTGTGCAGCAGCCATTGCTTTCTGAAGAAAACAGTCAATTTTTGATTGTCCRAGTGGGATAATTGGAGAGAATTGTTTTGTGAGCTTGGTTTGGATACTGATGGTTTTATGCCCTGCATACAAAAGCTAACCTATAAATAGATGTCAGAAATCTGCGAGGAGAGGCTCACACTAAATGAKCAATGTAACTTGAAAGTGAGAGTCACATAACTAAGTCTTTCATCGCGGTTTTAGCTGTTCAGGATCATGTGAATAAGGCCTCTGGAGCTTTTCTCTGCATTYGTTAACTTCCTTTGCAGGAAAAGGAGCTACAGATGTGAAAACCGTGTTTGGGTAATATGTCTTTTTTGTTAGATATTTAGAATCTTGACAAAGAGAAATGGCAGCAGTTTTTCTATTCAAGAGGAAGAGGAAATGGGGGGGAAGTGAATTGCATGAAAAGCAATGTATGGGAAGCAAAGTGTTTAAGATAACTTCTGAGGAAAGGGGTAACATCCTCTTAAAGCAGGGATTTGCTTTATATAGGTGATGACTTTACTCTTTCTAGCACTCTCAATTCATCCATGTAAAGCTTATTAAACCTACAGAAATATATAAAAAAAATTATATTCAGCAGTGTTTCCAAGAGGAACTGCTTCAAGAATTAATACCTTGTTTTGTGCAGTGTAYGYACTGTAATGCAGTCAGCTTTTGTATCATGGCYTGGWSCTTTTTTGAAGTGCATATGGTAATTCTCTCKCTGTGCTTCAGAGAGACACTGCCAACCATTAGTAACTTCKTGCATRTCTGACTTAAACAGAAGCATCCTGCACATGGGACCTCTCCTAGCTTCAGATTTTCCTTGTGTCCTTCTGTGACTGTAGGAACATGTAGGCTCTAACACAGAGTGTTGGGTGTCTGCAACCTGAAGTAGTAAGGTCTGGGAGTTAATCCTCTGGGATTTAAGTCTTTGTACTGYACATGTCCTGAAACTGCAGAAATAACAGTCTGAGCACGCTTTACACATAGTAAATGTAGCAGCAGAGTTTTTCAGACCATCAGCACATAGGTTTTCTAATGGGCAGTGTGTTTTCTTGACTTAAAAGTGACATCCAGCCTAGCAGTGCTTGTTTGTAACAATGGGGGAGAAATTGTGCAAAGTTTAGTTTGGCTCAAGCAGAGGTATGAAAAGGGAAGAGTAGAAACATCTGCAGCTGCTACAGCGTGTTTGAATTTAACTAAAACCAGATAAGAGCAAGGAACAGGCAGCTTTCTTCTTTAAATAAAAGGAAAAACCTCGCAAACAATCAATAAACCAAATTTGAAAGGGCGAGTGTGGCTTTTTTTGGATACATTTGGATACATTGGTTACAAGAGAACACTGAAAGAAATTAAAATAGCTATKTMGGATTAGTTTTAGAARCTATTTTGCTGGGGTTTTTTTCCCYCTCCTTTGAGTGTGACTCGGCCAAGGTGCTCAGAAAGCCCAGCGCTGCAGTTTATGGTTCTCTGTCGGGTGCAGAAATGCTGTGCAGCCCCAGTGCCCGCAGCCAGAAGATGCTATTGTTGGAGCACTGGTCGGGAGTGATGTGGGCGCTGCCTTCCAGCAGTGGCAAGTCGAGTTTAAAAGTCCAAGGCTCCGCCTGTGCCCTTTCGCCTACTTTGCTGGCGAACACGTGGCTGCGGAGGAATGCAGCGAGGGGAAATGCACCGCGGCTTATGATTAAACTGCCCTTCCAGGAGGAAAACAAGTGTTCAAAGAAGCGGCCTTCGGGAAGCCTTTGGTATTCTGCCATCATAATTCRGGGCAGTCTTAAAGGCTTATGGTTTTCTTGAGGAAAGAAGAAGAATATGAAAAGAAACAAGCCGTTTTATTGTTTCACATTTTAGTGTCGAGCAGTGCAGTCCTAGAACTGGACTGTGTTTGTTTGCTTGATTCGGGATTAATTCTTGCTGGATTAATGTCTTTTTYATTTGGGAATCAGGACTATTTTCCTTATTGAAGCTTATTTAATTTTATGAGAATGCTGAGCTTTAATTCGTTAAGATATCAGGTTTACTATTAATGATTAATGCTATTTATAATATTTTTCTGCCTTGGACTGTAAAAAAGCATGTGCTTAAAAACTAAAGGGTTCCTGAAATTCTTTCCATTGAGAAAGAAAGAGAAGGTTAATTTCAAATTCCCAGGCTGAGAAGTCACAGGGCAGTTGAAGGGTAACAGAAACTAGTTGATCTGGTATTTAAGACATTGACATTCCGGAGTACAAAATTCCATGAGTGAATTGAGCAGAACTTGTTGGCCCTTGAGACAAATCCGGGTGCCTGATCCTCTGTATGCAGATACAGTTGGGGGATTTTATGTGTTTGCTGGGGTTTTATCATCCCAGTCTTTATAGTGCCAATAAACATATAATAAACTCTTAACTTTGAATGCCTTCTGCTTTTGCAWACCACGTTGGGTCCAGGTTATACCATGTGTTACTGCTGCCTCTGCCTGTTTTATTGCTCTCCTGTCAGCTGGCAATGAACAATTTAAATGAATGAATGGACAGCTGACTGACTTCCTCATAYTTGTCTGCAGCAGGGCCCGTATAARTAGTTGTTAGTGACAGAGTCATTAAGTACTACAAATTGTAGTTGTTACTAGGGCTTGCAGGGCTTGTGTTGCAGCTTTTGAAACTGGTGTTCAAAGCTGCTTTGAGTTCTTCTCATTTGTTCTTCTTTGTTATTCTAATCAGACGCTGCACACACAAATCAAATTGCGTATTATCTGTAGGATACCATGAGCTTTAGCTGCCCTGGCACACAGCTTCTAAAACTTGAGCAGTGGCTGATGGATTCTGGAGGTCTGTGCGTTAGCAATAGCCACTGCAGCAGTAGTTGTACTGCAGAGGATCACTGTAGGCTGATCCAGGGAGAGGTACCTTAAATATTGCAAAAATCCCTGTCTGTTGGTCTCCAGCCTTAACAGATGATGTGCAGCAGCACTTTCCTCACTCATCTCTGCCGAATATTCCCTCTCTTTCTGTACTGGAAGAGGTTCTTCCTCCACAGGATGTTTTTGCACTGGTACAGGTTGCCCAGGGCAGTGGTCACAGCCCCAAGCCTGACAGAGTTCAAGAGATGTTTGCACAATGCTCTCAATCACAAGGTGTGATTCTTGGGGCTACATTGGGTTTACATCTGTTTTAACTTCCTGTGTTTTTTGGTTGAGTCTTGTCTTCTGTCTGTATTTGCATGGCTGTTGATATTTGTTTGGGCAGTTAAACTGAGCTGCAATTCAATGAAATTTCATCATAATCTCAGATTTCTCTGGGAAGGTATTTTTTTTTTCTGCCTAAGTTGTGAATTGGTTTCCTTGACTCTGCATAGTTTTGATTTTTGCAGTTATTTGCCAGTCAGAGTGTGGAGCCACAGGGACTAGAGTCTCATATTGCTATGAGTAACCATCTTGAAATTAGAAGATGAAAAATGTTTCAGGAGGAGATATAGCCAGAAGCAGCTTTATTTTTGTAGCTGAAGTGAGAACTTTAGGTACCTTTTGTCTCCAAAAAAAACCCCGTTTTCTGAATTTTCTTTGAACAGCAGGATGCTGTGTGCCTGTGACATTCTTTTTCTAAATGGTTTGGCTTTCACTTTCTGTTCTGCTCTGATTTTCTTGTGTATTGCCTGTGTTACACAGTGTTTTGTTTCTGTTTTCAGCTGTTGTGTTTAGAAGAAGTGCCTTAATTAACCTTCTGGACACTCACATTGAAGTGCAAGCGTAGCCTGTAAGGAAAAGGCAAGTATTATATGGAAACTTTTCATACCTGGAAATCTTTGCCAAAATTATGATGTAGAAAATATCTTGCTAGAAGTGGACTAGCTTCTAATTCCTTTGGACAAGAAGAAAATACTTTTTTTTTTAACTTTTRTTTTTTGACAGAAGTCTCTCTGAAAATGGCGGAAGCTCACCAGGCAGTAGCTTTTCAATTCACAGTAACTCCCGATGGGATTGACCTGCGCATGAGCCATGAGGCTCTCAAACAGATTTACCTGTCTGGTGTCTATTCATGGAAGAAGAAGTTCATCAGATTCAAGGTACGCCAAATTAGTCAAGTCCACCAAACYGCATGGTTATTTAATGTTTTATGTATTTATTGACATTTTGTTAGGGAAAAAWTGGATGTTTTTTTCCTTTATGGTGAATAAAGTTCTTCATTGTGAAGGACTTATATGGGTTTTAGTTAAGACAGGGACACTGAAAAAGGTAGCACTGTGTGATGCTGTAAAGACTGAAAGGATACATATTTTTTATTTGTTCTATGAAAGCAAGATGAAYTAGATGTAGAAATCAGCAACAGCTTTAATTGACTTCATTCTCTTCATAATGCACCATGTAATTATGTAATCATTTAGCAGAAGTCAAAAATATGATTAGTTGTGATCTTTAGGGTCATGTCTCTTAGAGATAAAAGACTACACTATTTAGGCTAAGTAGTATTGTTTCTGATGAGGTATTTGATGCAGACTGCTGTGAATTTATTGTTTTGTTCATGGGATTATAATTGTAATTATCTATTTCATTAGTTGCAAGCTACATAAGCTACAGGCTGTCTTCAACATCTCTTTCAAAAACATAAACACAGTAACAGCAGTCTCATTAAAGTTTTCCTACTAAGCTATGAGAAGGACCATTTAAATTATATTAAAAAATTAATTCTGGTTCTCAGTGTCTTGTTCAGTAGAATATTTTTGCCATGTATTCGTGCAGAAAGGTCTCAGCATAAGCTGAAATTATTGAAGTGTCATTTGTTTTAGAGTTGGTTAGTTTTCCATTTCAGTTCTTTTCAGTAAGAACTTGCAGCAGGATCATTGATATTGACAAGAGAATRTAAAAGTTTCTTACATTGTTGATATCAGTCACAATTTTCTGTAGTAGTCAAACTTGAGTAAATCCATTCCCTACTCCTGAGATAATCGTATGCAAGAAAAYGTTGGATAATCTTAACTACTTGTTTAAAACTAAATTACTTAAATGTGTTGATTTTTGTTTCTTTCCATGGTAATATGACATCAGTCACTTTGGTATGAAAAAATTATGTGAAGGCTTTTCTTTCCAGAAYGGAATTATCACCGGCGTTTATCCTGCCAGCCCATCTAGCTGGCTTATTGTAGTTGTGGGTGTGATGTCAACAATGTATGCCAAAATCGATCCTTCCTTAGGAATAATCGCTAAAATCAACAGAACACTTGATACAACGTAAGTAGACTGAAAAGTTGCTGTTCCTCTAACGGGAAATCAGTTTTGTTTGCAACTATTCCTGTTAAAATGTATGAGTTTTAGAACCCTATGTGTCATGGTCAGCCCAATGAGCAGATGTGTGAGGATATGAAAGAGGGAGGTTGTTGTACCAGTATTGCTGCATTGTTTTCTGGGTATTTGGGAAGCACATTTGGCAGCTTTCTGTGGCCTTTGATGTTGCTGCATGAAAAGGTGTTTGGAAAGGAGCTTATGAATGCAGGGTCAGCAGGCAAAAAGTTTGTGTAGGGCCTGCACTGTCAGAGCTGTGTTTGCAATACCAGCATCTCCTTGGAACTGAAATGGRCAACACTAACTGGCTTTTGTTTTAAATAGTGGCTACATGTCAAACCAAACACAGAACATCGTGAGTGGAGTACTTTTTGGCACAGGGCTTTGGGTTGCCCTTATCGTCACAATGCGCTATTCCCTGAAAATGCTGCTCTCCTACCACGGCTGGATGTTCTCTGAGCACGGCAAGATTACTGCTGGCACTAAGCTGTGGATGGTAAGGATGTGTTGGCTTCGTTTCATCTCAACTTCCAACTGGACAATACTCAATGCCTTAAGAAAAAAAATTGTCATTTTTTCCTTTCTTGTGCTTTCTGTGTCATGGTACAGGAGGCTGTTAGGTRGCTGTTTCTACTGTCACCCTTTTAATGCTGTCATTAAACTATTCATCGTGGCCTTCTAGAAGGAAGAGTAAACACTTCAAGATTGACTTCTAAATTTGCCAATGCCTTGGGCCTGTGTGACTCAATGCCTACGTTTTCTCTACGTGCAAGGACAGCTCAAAGAACTTGGGCTACAGCAGCACAGAACCTTGTCCTCACAGAAGGCACTCCCCTAATTCTTTGTTGTAATGTTGGGATTTCTAGTCATCCATTTTAAAAATTATTCTTATACTKGATGAAAATATTATTGGTATGCCTCCAAAATGAGTTGGGGGAGACGCATAAGGTGTAGATAGGGTGTTATGCAATTTTCAGATAGGGATGAGGTGAGAGTGGTGCTTTGGGAAAGGATTCTTAAAGGGTTGATAGGTATAAAGCGAGGAAATGCTGATGCAGGTGCTGCAAGAGATGCAGTGAGGTTCTGCTACTTGGACTCAGTTGTTTTCATCTCACTTTTACCTGTATTGCTGCAGAAACAGGTGAATTTCCATACTGTGATAAAAATAGTCTCTGCAGCCTCAAAAATTAACAGATGTGTATAAAACGAACCACATGTCACAATTTACTATGAAAGATGTTCGAGGACAGGTATCCAGTGGTGCACTAAAATAAAGTTCAATATTTGTCTGTCACAAATGGAATTTCTAATTGGTGGTTTCTCCTGGAAGCGGTGTCAGCCTCATGGCTCCAACTGGCACAGTCCAKAGGCTCTGAAGGGTAAGGCTGTCTGTCATCTGCTTGGAGCTGTTGCTGCCTTGGTTTTCAGCATGTCCTACCAGATAGATACTCCAAAGCTCTTAATATTGCCTTATTGGCCTTAAAACAGTATGAACGGTAATGCTACTTATTGTGCTTTGTTGCATATTGATTTTATACATTTTTGTCTATCATATATGTTGCATATGTATTTTGTTGTGTATTATATATATTTTAAAGATAAAACATTAGTCTCATTTGTACTTACTAGACCCAACAAAAGAGAAGACTGGCTTCTCTAATGAAACAGCTCCAACTGCCTTAGCTTTCTAGATTTTTGTAATACTGTTTTCTCTTCAAATAGCCATGCAGATAAAAAACCTGAACTCTGATTTCAGTCACAGTGTAAAGTGATCTTTCAGTCTGGTTGGAAGCCTGGTGACACTTTTAATCAGCATATTTCACCTTCTAAAATCAAATTTCCTATGTCAGTGTTAGGGGGAAAACTCAAACATTAGCTGCAGTTTTAAAAAATTAATTTAAAAGTGGTAAATGTCTGTGAACAGATGCAACATATGTTAGAATGACATAGTTTGCTGTGTTTGCATATGAAATCAGAGATGCAATGAATTGTGTGTGCGTGTCTGTCARTCACTTTATTGGTCTCAAACTATTGTAAATTCTCTATTACAAGTTTTCTTAAGAGACAAATACTGTGAAATGTGTTTGCTCTTTTTTGTCAGCTGAGCAGGTGCTCTCTGAAGATAATTTTAGYCTTTTCTGGCTTAAGAGTTCTGGAATAAAATTGTCTCCAAGTATGAAATTAGATTTCCAGATAAAAAGCTGAACTTTTTCTTTCCCACCTGGTTATAAAATTACCTTTTCAGGAAGCACAGCTAGATTTCATTGGTCAGGTCGCTGTGGTGCATCCCGTGTACATCTGATGGCTCTGACACAATCCATTTGCAGGGAGGTCTTTGTTGCTGGTAATACTCCACAATTCTTAATTGCTTTGTGCTGCCTAAAATTATCTCCTCTAGCTGTGCTGACCCAGGAAGCTGAGAGGGAGGAAAAACTGTACATTCTAACAGTTTTGTTAGGAGAAGATTTCAGAATTTAGTAGTGGAATGGCATCCTCTGTTTTATTTTGTCTTGTCTTTTGGCTCACATATACCATCCTGCATGGTGGGCCAGGATGATACTTGGACAATAAAGGTTCCACTGGGTTGTTGGAATAACACTTGACCTTACTTTCACGCTGGAATAGGGTGGCAGTGTCAAATCCTTTCACGAGTAGCCGAGAGGTTGCATGGTCTAGGATTTCAGCTTCATGTGTGCTGCTGCTGAGCAGTAGCTGTAGACAGAAATGCTGCTTCTGTTTTCACTCYCCTGTGGAACCCAGGAGATGCTGTAATGTCCAAAACTAAGTTATCTCTGGCTTTTTTGTCTCGTTGCTGGGKTTTTTTGGTAACACAAGCACTGAGTRTAACACTGGCATGCTTGCACAATTTGGTATGTTCAAATCTTGCAGTGAGAGATTGAGACTAAGACTGATTCATGCTTGAATTTAATCCCTGTAACATCAATCCTATTATAGATGTTGAGTTGTAGCTTTGGAAAGCATTAAACCATGATAACAAAGCATAATTATTACTTTTAAAGATTACTGTMGTTATCTAGAAACCTTAGCTGAGTCACAGGCTTGACAATGATTGTGTTTTAAGGCACAATTTAGATATATTTCTAGTATCTACTATGTAGTATAGTAAAAAATCAACTGGTAATATATCAACTGGGATAAATGGGTCTTTTTAATCTTTACAGAGAGAATTGCATGACTATTTTTATATTGAGATTGAGGTGTGCCCCACAYRAACAGCAATATTGTCTGTGACAGRAAGATAGGCATGATCATTCCTGGCTTCCCAGTCAATCTTTCTCTTCCACTGACATGCTGTTTAACCTTTAGGAAGTTAGTTTCTGTCAAGGCCTTTTTTTCACTTGTGAAACAGTGATAAATATGGTAGTTTCCGAAATCTAGTGCAGTATAATTTACCAGTGAAAAGGACTATGAGTTACATTATACATTGTCTGTCATTTTTCTTCTGTTGAACKTAATAATTTGATGTGTGTATTTTGTTTTTGCTTTTCTTCAGGCCCTTGTAAAACTCTTCTCAGGACGTAAACCCATGTTATACAGTTTCCAGACATCTTTACCACGATTGCCAGTTCCAGCTGTTAAAGATACAGTTAACAGGGTATGTACATTCACCAATTTATTTTCTTCAGTGGCACTGAATCCATACTTGAAGACTTTTTTGGGTGTTTTTGCCGTGTCTTATAAAATATTGCATGGTGGTATTGATATGGTGAAACAGATTCAAACTTCTGCATTGAAATTAAAATAAAGGCTGTGACAAACCAGTGAAACTGGTGACASTTTGAAGCCAGTGTAATTCATATTGGATAGAATGATGCCTGTTGTTGGAAGGCTGTGCCACAAAGTGTGATTTCCTGTGGTTTTTGAGGCATACCACTTTTGTTATCCTCCACAGGCTGTACAGTGTGTGTTATCAAATGTATGTATTGTGGCACAGCACCTTGTAGCAAAATGTGTAAATATGACAGTAGGTCACAGAAACTGAAGGGTTGAGTTTTAGAGAGGAAAAAAAGAAAAAAAAAACTCTGTACACCACTGAAGAAGCAGCGGGTCTTAGCCCGCTTTTGAGTGGAARATGGTATCTTTAGAAAAGTTACCTCTTCCACTTGTGTTTTGATGACAAATGTCTGAAAAAAGATATTTTTTGAGGTTTGCAGCAGACGTTTAGAAGAGCGCAAACTCTTGTTTTAAAAACATAGTTTTTGCAATYTTATGGACTGAGAGTGGACAATCTTTTTTTACTATCAAAAAAAGATAGTAATAGAAATGTTGAGAAKCTGCATACTAGTTATGGTACTGATGCTGATCTTTTTCCTATGTTCTAGTACCTGGAGTCAGTTCGGCCACTAATGGATGATGAAAAGTTCAAAAGGATGGAGGGTCTTGCCAAAGATTTTGCATTTAATTTGGGACCAAGGCTTCAGTGGTATTTGAAGCTAAAATCCTGGTGGGCCACCAATTATGTGAGTAGATAAATAAGAGGCTCAGTTGTTCAAATTACATCATTTGTTCCCTGGTGCTCTTTTTGGCTTAAATTCCATATTTTTCTTAGGTGTAAAAGAAGRAAATTGAAACTGCATAGTATTTTTTTAAAATACACTTGACTTTGCACATAAATAATTTGAGCAATTTGGTAAACAGTGTGGTGAATGAAGGCAAATGAAACTTGAAAAAATGAATGCTTATTTTATGTTTTGTTATTCTGGAGCAGGTGATTTAGCTTTTGCTTTTAGGATTGCTTTTTGAGTCTGTTTATTTGCTTGTTGAGCTTGATAACTCAAGGCAGGCTACCCAGGTAGTTTAGAAGAATGATTTGTTACAATTTTTTTTCATAGAGCAGCTAATGCATATGTAAGAAAAATATTGTAGCATTAGAGTTGTTGGTCTGTTTTTTCTTTTTTTCCTTACCAAAAAGAAAATCCAAACCTCAACATCATAGTGAGAACTGTGACATAATTCCTTCTTGATATATTAACTAAAGTAGTTGTACCCAGTTAGCCTAAGCTGCCCTGGCAAAGGCCTTAAAGCATTCAGATGTGATACATTTTAAATATTATGTGAAGATCATGGCTTCTTTGGAACCTCGTCAGAGAGCTATGGCTGAGTTTAATTTATTTCTTTTGCCCCTTTTTTTGTCTGCTTTCCATGAGGTTTGATAGAAATTAGCAAGGAGGGGAGTTTTCTTTCTTAAATAGGGAAGCAAACTAGCAGTTTCCTTCCTGCTCCTGTATGGAATGTTGTTTTGTGAAGTCATCAACATGGAAGACATAAACTGTGGAAATGATGGTATTTTACTACTTGTGTTTTCCTTCCTGCTGCAGGTTAGTGATTGGTGGGAAGAATATATCTACCTTAGAGGACGTGGACCAATTATGGTTAATAGTAACTATTTTGCAATGGTAGGTAGACCACATGAACACCTTATGTGACAAGCACTGCAATATTTCTGGCAGGGATCTTGCTTCCTGGTGTCTTTCTGCTTAGAGATGCATTGCCATTGAGGATGTAACCTTTGTTTTCCTTTCTCCTAGTATAACCTTTCTTCTAGTACAACCTGCAGCCAGTGTCTTCAGGTACCTTCAAGTATGTCACATACTTGGAGTACTTCAAATACACGTCTTTTAAAAAAACCCTTGCCACTTGGCAAACTCATGCAATAATGACTTAAAACAGTTTTGTGCTTACTGCAACAAGCTGTCTTGCAAAAGCTCCATGTAAAACTTTGTGGGGAACACAGTTCAGGGAGGTGCGTGCTCATACTCACAWATGTCTGTACAGGGAGTAAAATTGTAAAAGACTCTAAGATAAAAAGCAAAAAAGAAATACGATGGTCTTGGATCAAGTTGATGTAGCATTGTATTTTCTGCTCAAATAATTAATAATATTTAAGGTGACTGTTGAAGCAAAGTTTCATCAGCTGACTGCTGTAGTGCACATCATAAATCTTCAAACCTTTTCTATATTGTCCAGAATAAACTTCTAATGATGTGGATGGGACGTACTATCAGGGTTTGTGTTTTTTTTAATGTAGTCTGGTAATTAACTTATGATTCTTATCTACTTTACAGGACTTCCTTTCTTTACAACCCACAACCCTGCAGGCAGCTAGAGCTGGTAATGTAATCCATGCYGTCCTGCTCTATCGAAAAAAACTGGACAGACAAGAAATCAAGCCAGTATGTACATCAGTTTAAATGGCTTTTCATCTTTTTCCAGCACAGTCTGTAAGAAGTTGATCAGTTTTCAGAATGGGAGAGGAATGTCTTACTGTTACAAATATTTGTGGTCCCAGCCAACTTGGCTGTCACTTGAATTTCACATGTGCAGAAAGTAACTATCAAAAATGCAGAATTGTGTGGACACAATACAGGGTGGTTGGGATAAAGGGCTGGAAGCCACTTGACACCAAGAAGGGGCCAGTGGAAGCTTAAGATGATGATAAAATCCYGGGTTGCACTATTTTCTGGGTAACAAACACGGGCAAGGTAAATCCGATTTGAGTTTCTGTACTATCCAGTGGCTGTGTATTGTAGCAATCAAATATTGTAGAAACAATTAAGTAATTTTATTAAAGGTCATGGAAGGGGTGTGATTAGTTGTGTGCAACTACAAATCTGAGAAATGTGAACTTGTGTTCCTACACAAGCCATAAATAGCTTAAAAGTATGAATTAAGGGGTAATGCCTGCTGCATGTCTAAGTTCAGCATCCAGACCATCTTTGGATTTCAGATGCTGGCTAGCTTCAGTCTTCCCTCCTGAAGGGTGAGATTTTGGTAGGAGAAGAAAAAAAGTGCTACTGGAATGCCTGTGGAATCTTCCACATGTAGTTCAAGGAAAGACCATTAACAGGGAGGAATAAACTCGACACTGTGTTGATGTATTATAAATATTATTATTCTGAAGCCTGTGTTTAACCRGATCCTGGGKKTTTTTTTYTTTACTTTTTAATTTTCTAATTGTGTATGCAAAATTGCATTTTAATGTACATTTGCATCTCAGATTCTTCTGTTGGGATCTACTGTTCCACTCTGTTCAGCTCAGTGGGAAAGGATGTTTAACACTTCCCGGATCCCAGGAGAGGAATCAGGTAAGCAAGGCCAGCCAAGGAGAATAATCACCTTAAGGGAATTCAGGGCTTGGTGTCTTTTCTACTAGAGTTCTGGTTTTCCAGATAAAGATCTGACTGGCACAAGTGTCCACCAATACTGTGTGTTCCAAGACTCAGGATGTAATGGATTGCTGCAGAGTGCCTAGATACTTTTCTTTTTAGGGAGATTTTGAAACTTCTTCAGTAGTCTTTTTCTTTTACTGAAATTAAAAAGTAAAATCAAGAAACTGTTGTCTACCCTGTTTTCTGATTTATAAAAAACCTTTACTTTTCTCCATTTTTTCCAATCTCAAGATGATCTTTGAGGTCTTAATATTAAAAGTGGCAATTTTTGTTGCGTTTCTTTTGTTTTTCCTAAGTTTTGTCACTGTGAAAGGAGTCAGATTGCATCTAGAAGGACTTGCCTTTTGTGATCAGGAGGTGGAAGAAAACATTGCTATTTTATTGAGAATTTCACAGCAGATTTTAGTGGAGACTTGTGCTGTTGTGTTTTTCTACAAAATAGGCATTTGATGGGTATTTAGTACATTAGTTTTGAGACTTCAGCTTTGTGTTCACGCAAGTGTTTGCAATTCTAGACACCCTCCAGCACGTGAAGGACAGCAAACACATCGTGGTCTATCACAAGGGCCGGTACTTCAAAGTGTGGCTGTACCATGATGGCAGATTGTTGAGACCCCGAGAAATTGAGCAGCAGATACAGAGAATTCTGGATGACGATTCAGAACCTCAGCCTGGTGAGGAGAAACTTGCAGCTCTTACTGCAGGAGACAGGTATGGTGGTAATTATTCTTTAAATGAGTTTAGAATTTGGAACTTGTTGCATRATGTAATCATTGAACATTGGCTTTAACATTTTAAAATAGTCTGCAGCCAGTTCTTTAGATCTTGGTCACTGATTTTSTATATTGATGGTGTGTAACAGTGCTTCAGCCATTTGTAACTGTGGGGTTAAAGCAATTTTGCAGTGGCAACACCGTATGTGGATTATTGGTTTTATTATTGTCTTCTTCCTAATAGTAGATCCTTTCTTTTGTTTAGTTTTAAGTGTAGATGATCTATGCTGCAGGTATTGCATATGCAGAAATGTTGAATTTCTGAGGATGCTGAATTGAATTGGTTCCTAGGATTACACTGTGCAAGTWCTGCCAGAGCTTTTCACAGCTCTCACAGTTCAAATGCAATGAAATTCCACAGAATTAGGAGGAATGTCTCATAGTGATCTGAAGTGTAATAAAACATGCACAAATTTATGTAATCTGGCTAAAAACCAATTTTTTTTTGTTGTTTTTTTTTAACAGAGTACCATGGGCTAGGGCTCGTCAGGCGTATTTTAGCCGTGGAAAGAACAAACAGTCCCTAGATGCTGTTGAAAAAGCAGCATTTTTTGTGACATTGGATGACATCGAGCAAGGCTACAGGAAAGAAGATCCAGTGACGTCACTRGATGCATATGCAAAATCATTAATACATGGCAGATGCTACGACAGGTGCAGTATTGACTCTGGAAAATGTTTTCCTTTCTTTTAGAATTTGGCTAATATATATGGACTATAGATGACTTGTAAGTTGACAGATTTCACAGAATCACAGAAGGATCTGGGTTGGAAGGGCCCTTCAAAGATCATCTAGGTCCAACCCCTTTTGCAACAGAAAGGGACAACTTTCACTRCATCAGATTGCTCAAAGCCAGTCCAGCCTGACTTTGAGCATTAGCAATAACAAGRCATCTGCAATTTCTCAGGACAATCCATTCCTGTGCCTCACCAGCCCATTGTGAAAGATATTTCTCCATTATAACACATCTCAACTTACCCTCTTTCAGTTTGTATCTGTTGCCCCATGTCTTGTCACTATGATCCATGATAAAACAAGTTGCTCAGCTTTTCCTATAAGCCTTTGTTATATATAGAAGGGCTGCAAGAAGGTGTTCCCAGAGCCTTCTCCACACTGAACAAGCCCATCTCTCAGCCTTTCTTCATGGGAGGGGTATTCCAGGACTCTTGCCATTTTCACAACTCTCCTCTGACTCAGTCTAACAGCTCCATGTCCTTCCTGTGCTGAGAACCCCCGAGCTGGACTCAGCTCTGCAGGTGGGATCTCACCTGAGTGGAGTAGAGGGGCAGAATCCCTTCCCTGGTCCTGCTGGCCAMGCTGCTTCTGAAGTAGCCCAGGGCATGATTGGCTTTCTGGGCTGACAAGTGCACATSGCCAGCTCTTGATGAATTTTTCATCCCCAGATCCTTCTCTGCAGAGCTGCTCAATCCATTCATCCATCAGTCTGATCCAGCTGATCCTGGGCATTATCCTGACCCAGGTACAGGGCCTTGTATTTGGCCTTGTTAAACTTCACGAGGTGCACATTTCTTTCTATTTATTTAAATGTTATTAAAAAAAAAAGGTTAGGAGCTAGTGCATTTGAATGTGAATTTTAGAGCGAGGGGAAATTACAATATAAAAATGTTTTTGAAATGTATAAAACCATAAAGAAATCTTGATTTCTTTTGTAGGTGGTTCGATAAGACGTTCACTCTTGTAATATTCAAAAATGGCAAAATGGGTCTGAACGCAGAGCACTCGTGGGCAGATGCCCCTATTGTTGGACACCTGTGGGAGGTAGGTGTTTAGTGCAGAGCTAATGCAGAAGATAATGKGATGTGGTCTTGCAGCACCCCTGAAGGTCACCAGCTGCTTTCAATCCTTTGCATTCACATTGCTGATGAGTGATTAGGGCCCTGTGTGTACAATTAAAAAAATATTCCAAACCCTTGCTTAAYTGGCTGCTGTTCTTTGAAGGAGAGCATTTTAGTGAGCTTAGGTGTCTTCACAGAAATGTGATATGACTCCCCATTCAACTTGGTTATAATATTTTAAAAATAAATCCATTTAAAAAAAAAACCCCATAGATTGTTGCCTCTTTGATATGGCATTCTATTTTTGGTAAGTACATGCTCCTAAAGCTCTTAAGCTTTCCTGTGCTATAAAAATCCTGGGCTTACTTTCAAATTTAAAGAAATTGGACAGCTTAACTTTTTGCTAACCGTTGTTATGCTGTTGATATTATCTTGTATTTATTTGCACTTTGTTGGGTCTGTTCATCATTTGCTTTTAGTTTATTACTTGAAATCCTATTTGATTTTTTTTTTCTTTTTGAATGTTAAATGCATAAACAGTTACATGACTCAAATCAGTCAAAACTATTTCAAAACCATTCGTTATTTCTGATTTCATATGCCTTTGTGCAAAAAGAGTCTTAGATTGGACTGGTCCCCCAAGTAATTTCCTAGTTTTATTGCAGAAGTGTTTCTATGCTCCTTTTTTTTTTTTTTTTCCCCAAAAAAGCCTCATTGTGTGCTCCACCCAGGGAAGAAATAAGGCCAAACTGATTTGAGAGTGACTTGACAATGCAGACTATCTCAGGGAAAGAGTTAATTTTTTTGTTTTTAATGAATGATGTTACATGCTTTAGTTCATATATCTGTTCTTAATATTAGTTGGAGCWTTTTCTGCTAAGAATTAAGATGACTGAAACAAAATAAAATTTCATTTTCTAKGAAGTTATCTGTTGTTGGCTCCATAGATTGACTCTTTTTAGAATAGAATGGACTAAGCTTTATTTCATAGTTGTCAAGTTCTGACCACTAAGTGAAATGAGAAAATKAAGAGAAAATCAAACTAAAATAAGAGATTAGAAATAAATGGTTAAGCTTTTTCTTTTCATATTGAGCAGAATCAAATCTCTTGGTAATTTCTTTTTTTGTTTGTTTGTGGATTTGTTGTTTCTGGATTTTTTTTTTACATTGACGATGCTTGATACTTTGTAAGACAGAGCATTTTATGTCTGCTCAAGTTGTGTTGTTCATCTTGGAAATATTCTTCTTTCCCACCCAAAAGTTCAAGTGCTCATATAAAATAAACTTCAATTTTGAAGGGGAATACAAATCTTTAAAAATAATTGAATTCTTGCAGGGATTTGCACTTACTCTGAAATAAATTATTTTTTGATGAGTAAGTTTTGACAGATAACAAACTTGAAGAAATTCTCTWGAATCTAAACTGAACAAARATTRTGAAATCTGAGTTTAGTTTTTTACTTCTACTTTGAGGTGGGGTTTGGATTGAAAAATTTTTCATAAAATCAGTAACATCTAAGAAAATGCACCGGTGTAATTCAATAAGTGTTTGGTGCACATCCAGTGTTCTTTCTACTCAGAACACAAGTAAAAATACATGAAAATAAGAGATAAAACTGAGGGCTTTACTTGGTGTTGTTTTCAGTATTTGGAAATGGATTATATATCATATTTCACTGTGTAGTGACAGCAGGTTGTCTTGAGCTCACAATGAAATCCTGATTCCACAGCAGTGAGGTGTGTGTTGAGGTTCTGAAAAGGTCTCCTTTTTCACAGAATGTGATGGCAACGGAGTATCTTGAGCTGGGCTATTCAGTGGATGGACACTGCAAAGGAGAGACCAATCCAAATATTCCTATTCCTACCAAACTGCAGTGGGACATTCCAGAAGAAGTAAGTACAGAAGATTTAATGGTTTGAGGAAGAAACTTCTTTTCCTCAGCAGTCAAATGATTTACGTAATTACTGATAACCCTACAAATCAACTTTAAATTCCTTTGAGTCCTGTCGGTTGTGTACTTCATGTGTAGACATTTAGTTTACTTAGAAAGTCAGGGGRGTTTAATATCAATCCTTAAAAATTCTGGCTGGGAAATGCCAGCATTTTCCTAGAAGCTTTCTTGGTTGGCAGTATGTTAAAAATAAGTGGCCATCTATTTTAAATAGTGACTGTATTAAAATAAACATTCATTTGCTGAGTTTTCATTACTGTTGTCACAGCAAATACTCTTGTCTAATAGCTCTTTTAGACTAGCTGTCTATTTTTAGGTTTTCATAGTTCTGTATACATGCCTAGTAAGATTTAATGTTTTAAGAGTTGTTTTTGAGTTCAAGAAAAACTGCCACCACCTATTTGGATTTTAATTTTGAATGGGAAGATAATTATTGGTGATGTATTTAATTAAGTATGCATGGCAGCTCAGAAGCCACACTACCATTGCCATTCTATAACTGTAGGTTGTTCTTTTATATTCTCCTGATCTGAACACTTTTAATGCTGGTAGGTTTTTTAACTGTTATTTTTTGCATGACTAGCTTAAAATATTTTTATTAGCTTTTTGAATTTTAACTTTCTGGCAAAGATAGTTTCTCTTCTTTCTCCAAAGGGASGTTATTTAAGTAATAGTGCTCCTGGCGTGCATAGGGCAGCATTTGTTATTTATCAGTTTAAAATACCTKCACTTTTTAATAGTTCTCTCAAATGCCATGAATGTCTGTACATACAGGTGTTTGTCTGTTTGTTTATTTAAGTGCCAAGAAGTGATTGAGAAGTCTCTGAGCACTGCCATAGCTCTAGCAGACGATGTGGACTTCCATTCATTTTATTTTGATACTTTTGGGAAAGGACTAATAAARAAAGCAAAAACCAGCCCTGATGCCTTTGTGCAACTTGCCCTGCAGCTCGCTCACTATCGGGTAAGGACAGACTGTGTCTGCTCACAGAACCTCATTTAACTGGGTGTAACATGTTTGTGACTAAAACATGAGACTGTGTGGAGTAGTTCTGCACTGCTTGAACAAGGTTATTAAAGACATTCAGCAGAATTTGATACAAACCCTAAGATTACTAGCTGGAAGTCAATTCTCCAAATATTCACATGTCGATATATTTCTAGATTTTTCTCTTCTGCTTAGTCRGTCTATCCCTAGGCATTTTGGACTAGAAAGAAGATATGACTCCTCTAGTAGCTGTGTTTATAATCTAAACAATGTTAAATTTATCTTGTAGATTAGAGTCATACATAATTCAGTCATCATGGACATTCCCTAAGAGGATTCATAGAAATGCCCACCTGTGTTACCTTCTGTTAGTTAATCTTTTCTGTAATGTGCTCTCAGAACAGACCAGTGTAGCAACATTCAGCTTCTCTTTGAAACTGAAAAGTTTGAATATAAAATGCAATAGTAGTAGTGTAGTCCTTGCTAGTTTGGTTATTCTATTAACGTTTATCAAATCCTGCTGGTAATCTTATTTTTGCCTTTATTATCTTCAGGTGGGTGGGCTAATGGTGGGCTGCTGAAAATGGAACGTTGAGTTTAATCTGTGGAGTTCCATATCCTGTGTGCTTAGGTTGGACTGTTGATTAAGAAAGAAGGGTGAAGTCTGGCTTAACCTTCARGTTCTTATTTTTCCCTTTTTTCAAGGACATGGGAAAATTTTCCTTAACWTATGAAGCGTCGATGACGCGCCTGTTCCGAGAAGGCCGGACGGAAACGGTTCGTTCRTGCACGGTTGAGTCCTGTCGCTTTGTTCAAGCCATGGCAGACCCAGCTGAAAGTGTGAGTTTGTGGTGTTGGTGCCTTATACATTTGGGAGAGTGGGTTTGGATTGCATATTAGGGAGGAATTCTTTGCTGTGAGGGTGGTGAGGCACTGGAACAGGCTGCCCAGAGAAGCTGTGGCTGCCCCATCCCTGGCAGTGTTCAAGGCCAGGTTGGATAGGGCTCTGAGCAACCTGACTGGAAGATGTCCCTGCACATGGCAGGGGAGTTGGAACAAGATGATCGTAAAGGTGCCTTCCTATCCCAGCCAGTTTATGATTCTGTGATAATTCTTAAGGCACATGAAACCATGTAAGTCCCCAAATAGTTTTTAAGCACTTAGAGTGATGCTTTTGGTTTTTACAGAAAGGAAGAACAGCATAAGGTAATTGTCCACATTTTTGGTCAATACAGCAGAAATTCTAGGCCATGTAAGAAGATGGCAAATCGCATCTGTAAACCAAGTGTATCATTATTTGTATTTCCTGAACTACAGGAAACTGTGATTACTTGTGAAATTCCTGTGACTTGTAMAATTCAAACATAGATTTGTAGAACAGCCAATCTCATAGCAATTAGGGTTTCCTTTCTGAGAGGGAAGCAAGAATCATTCAGRGGCAGGAAGTAGTTGCTCTCACATGTTGATTGCACTGACCAGCATTTATGAACCCCTGTACCTTCAGTRTTGGCAGTTTGCCTTTTAAAATACCTCTGGCAGTTTGAGCTTTTCTTAAATCATGTTGAGATTTGCTCTCTGTAACTTTTTAAGACCAGTGTCTCTAGAAACTATAAATAATGTCGTATACTTGAGTTATAATCACGTTTGATTGTGTGGTTAGATCACACTTATAATACAAATTCATTTTCCTTGGGGTCAGCTGTCTTGTGCTTGACCCTTAAGTGCTCAAGGCTTGAGAGACATTGCTGTCACTTAATTTCTGCACCTCCATCCTAAATGCAGTTCATTTAACTGAGTTTTCTTAATCTTTTTTTTATTGTTAGAGTGAAAACAAGCTGAAGTTCTTTCGGCAGGCAGCTGCCAAACACCAGCTCTTGTATCGCCTTGCCATGACTGGGGCTGGCATCGACCGACACCTCTTCTGCCTTTATGTTGTGTCCAAGTACCTCGCTGTAGATTCTCCTTTCCTCAAGGAAGTAAGTGACTTCTACTGAAAACTGCTCATGACAGTGAACAGTCTTTTGGTTAGTAAGTGTTTTGTGGTGTCTGCTCAACATACTTGTACAGCTCTGGTTTTTCTAAGGAAGAAAGGTCAGCTGGCACTGTTGAACATCTGCTGATAAATGGTTAGAATGCTTTCAGTGAGCTTTTTGGCATAATACATGCTAAAAATYGCAAGAAAGAAACAGTATTTTAAGAAAAATATTTTCTTGTGGGTTTTGCATCTTTTCAGGGGAGTACARCAGAGGCTGTGTGTTTTCTCTGAGAATTTTCCCGTGAAACTGTGACAAATTCAGTTTAAGTTACTGTGAGTTAAAGGAGCTGTATATGGCATTAATGTCACTAGCTTTTACTGTGATAAATGCTTTATTACTTTGACTAGATTTTAAGGTTGGATTTKATAAAAAAAATTACACTGCATTGGTTCATTTTATTCTGATTAATAAGAAATGTGTTCCAGCTCGCCTCAAAATTAAGCTGCTCACTTATGTCTGCTTGCTCTCCCAAATGTGGTTAAATCAAAAATAAAATCACTTTCTGCAGTTTCCACAAACTTTCAAGATACAAGTGTGTTGTTAGAGATTYTGCAAGCTTCTAACTTGATGTGGGATCTTACTGGGATTTGAGTATGACCAATAATGACCTTGTTAAAACCAGGCCTGTTGTGCATAAGTTATGAGGCTGTAGACCAGATCATCTTGTTTGAAATAGCATTTCTATTGAAATTCTATTTTATTATCTTTGAGGAATTGACATCACTTTCTCATATGTTAATGGTTTCTATATCAGGGCTTATTTAGCTGTTCTTTTAAGCTTCTTGAAAGCTTCTTGTTCATTCTACTGAAATGGGAACAGGAGTTATCCTTAATATTACTTTATGGAGTGCATTCTAATTTGACTTGTTTTTGAGAAAGTTGCATGTCTGTAAATAGTGTTTTATATTGGTTTGCATCTCTTTCATATCTAATAAAGGTTTTGTCAGAACCTTGGAGGCTGTCAACGAGTCAGACACCGCAGCAACTCATTGATCTGAAGAAGAACCCTGAGATGTTAGCCTCTGGTGGAGGGTTTGGACCGGTATGTTTCCTAAATACAAATACCCACTAAAAAGAGAGTTTGATTTTCGATTTGTCAGTCTGAAAGTTTCAGATCTGTGATACCTTTATGTTGCAAATCAAAGGTGCAACTCGTGCTTTTAAATGCATRTGTTTAATGCTTTCCCATGATGTGGATGTGCTCAGAAAATCTGTCACCTTTTTCTGGTATCCCACTACAAAAATGGATTATTTTTAAGGAAATAAATAATTATGAAATGTTGTACAGGGCCCCATGGCAGAAAGAGCTGATGAAGTTGGGGCTTGTATCACATTACCTGTGCCTAGAGCTTCTGTAGGCTGTTATTACAGTGATAAATGCCTTAGTACTTAAACTAGACGTAAAGGTTGGGATTTGTAAAAGGGCTTGTGCTTGACTTGTTCATTGTATTCCCTGCTTGATGAATAAATGTGGTTGTGCATTCCTCCAGAATAAGCTGCTTACATTGTTCTGCTTACCCTCCTAAGGGGGAATAGTGGCCAAGTCAGTAACACATCCCTGTTCTGTGGCTTCTGTAGGCTTTGGAGAAGCCATTGCTAAAGATTTGACAAACTGCTTAYGTGCTGTAATATTTTACTGGCATTTGAACTTGGCCATTGGTGATCATACTGCTGCTAATATAATCACTTAAGCAGCCTTTATGGGGGTGTTAGACTAGATTAATCTGTTTTCAAAAAGCATTGCTATTGCAAGAACAGTGRGAGGCATCACAGGACTGCTCTTTGCCACAGAAATTGGGGTGATGAGTACAAAGTATTTTGGCTGKTTTGTCAAGCTGGAAGATGGGGGGGGGGGAGTTTTAAATTATTATTATTTATTTATTTATTTATTCATGTTTCTGATAGAGCTTTCAGTAGTTTTCAAAGTAGGAATAAGTTTGAATTGCAGTATCAAGGTAACCTAGCAATGGCCATACTGCTCATTCTTGAGAAACTGGGTTGCTCCAGCAGATTATTAAAGTCAGGATTTAGAATCCCCAAAAGGCAGTGGTCTTGCAATAGAATAGGTTTTTGGCTGTAGGAGTTTCTAATACTGTTTWCTTTTTGGTTTTATTTGCAAAAGCTGTGCTTTGGTTTGCTGAAAGGCCAGAGATTCAGTACATCAGCTTTCCACACGTGCATTTTTTTATTGGTTTTGAAGGGGGTATTTAAGCTTTCTGTAGAATTTACCCCTGTAGCACCAACAGTGAGAAGACTGTCAGTCTGCTGCAGCAGTGGCAGCAAAGAGCTGGGAAGTTGTGATCCTCTGAGTTAGGAAAGAGAGAAAGAGGGGGTGATGGGAGAATAATCTGTGTTTACTAGGCATAGTTTGAATATGACACTAGATTGAAATCTGGGAGAGTTAATGCTATTAATGTTGAAATTGGACCAGACCTCTGCTCACAATACAGGTGTTCAGAGTCACATGTTTGCTGTAGGGTCAGATGAAGACATGCCTTTGGGCAAGTTTTCCTAATATAAGGCTTTTACGCTGTATTTATTTACAGAGTGATCTTAGAAAACTGGTTTTTAGGTACACAAGTGAGCTGTTTTATTCCTTGCTGTTTAAGCACTGAAGCTGTATTGCTGCTTAGGACCAGACCTTCATAAGGGAAGCTCTTGGAATAAGTATTTTGTTTCAAAATATTAAAGCTGGGAACTATTACAGACAGATACTCAAAAAATGGTAATTTCATTCACTAGAACTATTCCTTAAGTGGAGCCAGTCTTCAGAAATAATTCAGAAATTATGCATCAAATGTAGATRCTTATGTTTTACTTGAGGAGAAATTGCAACTAATTTAAAAACCGTAACAACTSTTTAATTATGTATAAGTTGATTGAGGAAATGGAGGAGAAAGAAAAAGTTTAAAACATATTTTTCTCTTCTTTCTTCCTCTAGGTGGCTGATGATGGTTATGGTGTTTCTTACATTATCTTGGGTGAAAATTCCATCCACTTCCACGTCTCCAGCAAAGTATCTTGTTCTGAGACGGTAAGAGTCAATCTTTTCCTATGGTTTAATGAAYCTGTTCTGATGTGTGCTTATAGAACCGTTCTACTCACTGTCTAAAAAATACAGAACTTGCAACTTACTGTTATGATGTGTTTTTTTCTTTCTCCATATACGCTGGGTTTTGTCTCCACTTCTATAAATTTATGAGCTTCATGAACCAAGGATACTTTYTTTCATTTATGCTTTCAAGCATAAAAAAACACGGCCAGGAACATCTTTACACATGTGTAGTTCCCTGCAACTCATGTGAAAGRATCATATGTGCCCCCTAAACAGAAAGTTGGGCATTTCTGGGTTTTTGTTATTACAGTTTTGATCTGATTTGTCCCTGGCTGCAGTTGTAAAGACAGAGTAAAATGTATTTTTGCAGCCTGCCTATTTAAGCCTTCTTGGTTTAAATAATACTGAAAGAAGCTGACCTGTAAGTTACAATCTGTGCTTAAGAAGCATAACTAATAAAAAATGTATTAAAATAACACCCATTATTAGAGTACAGTAGATGTCATATATTAAATATCCTRTGGAGGCCTGCTTGGAGTTCAATTCATCCTTCCCCTGTATAATTTTATGACTTTACTAAGCATGTTGAGTTTGTTTAGGGYTACACAGCTGACCTAGTTTTCTCTTTTGACCTTAACTTGTCCAGGAGATCATGSTGCCTCTGGTTAATCATTAAAGATTAGGAAATAAAACTTTGGTTTTTTTCATAGTTTAAATTGTTCTTCAGATGCCTGTAAGCTTGTACTTTAAATCTCTCTCTGTTCTTCTTACTATTAGTCAAGTCAAAGGACCATAAAAAAAAGCCAGCATTTCATGTGTGCAGCTTTGATTTTAGTAGGGTCACTGTAATAAGTCCTGTAATGTAGCTAATAATTTATATTTGTAATCATAATTTCTTGTACTCTTCATCTAGCACTTAGCATAAACAGAGCAAGTTCCTATTCACTTTGCACTTAGAAAATTGTTATTTTCATTTTCAATACTTTTTTCTGGCAAACAATTCAGCATTTCTGATAGGAACTCAAATGAAAAATATTCTTCTGCTCTTTCAGTACTTCTTGATCATTTGTCATTCACTCACTGAACTTGGTCATTAGTCATACACTCACTTTGCKTTCTGAAAATGAGCTTTTGCAAAATCTTGTAGGTAAAGCAATATCAAAACCCAGCAATTTTTAAGTAGCAGAAAGCTAGGCATGTGTCTGATTTCAAAAGTAATTAGTGATCTGAGAGTACATAGTTTCTGACTGTGGGAAAGTAAATGCATAATGACAAACTCATTAGTCAGTAATAACATAAACTTATATTCCTTTCTGTAGTGTTAAAATTTCTGTTATTTAAATTCCCCATTGAATGGTAAAACACATGCCCAAATTCCATAAGCTCCAAAAATTACAAAATATTACGAAGTTTGTTCTTTTGCCTGAAAAATAACTGTTGATAGACAGTTCAAGTATTTGGGTTTTTTTTGTTTGTTTCTTTTTGAAGGATTCTCATCGCTTTGGAAAGAACATCCAGAAAGCAATGGTTGACATCATGGGTTTATTTAACCCCACTAAAAACTGCACAAAGTGACCTGATTTYTTGGTGCCAAGAAACCTCCTGGTGATGGGGTGAGAGCTCTTCTGCACAGTGAACAAGAGCAAGGTTTGTCAAASAGTAGCTGGAGAAGAAACTGAGTCAACACCTTCTTGATCACCTATTAAAACCTTAGCAGTACATTAAATGCATCTTTTTTGTTGTGGTTTTTGTTTTGTTTTGTTTTTTATTTTTTTGGTCAGTAGTGTGGAAGAGCTTATTTCAACAAAGGATGACCTTTAAAATCTTGTATGTTTCTAGGGAAGAAGCATAGTATCATTGCATGAGGTCATGTATATTCTAACTTCTGCAGTTTTTCTCTTAATTTATATACACTTGCTCTTTTTTTTTTTTTACTTTAAATTAGTTTACTTGTTTCCAGAATCAAAGGGATAAAACACACCGAGCTAAATACTAGAAAAAGTTCGATTTGCTGTGTATTAATAGCAGAATGTTCTTCAGTGTATCTGCTGCTTTATGTAAATGAGTGACAAAACTTGTGGCTGCTTGCCTTGTCTGGTTTCTTTTTAGAGGTAAATTCTGTAAAACATACCAAAAAAAAATCCCTGCTGTAACCCACCTTAACATACTAAGCTGCCGAAATTTTATGCGTTTAAAAAAAAAAAAAAAAAAAAAAAAAAAAAAGAAAAAAGAAACCAAACCATTGGATAGTAAAATGTGTCCCCTCCTTAGCAGGTATAACATTTTTCTTACTGCTTACGAGCACGTTTGTGACATTGATTTCATTTCTGTATCAATAAACGGACCTGTGTGCTTGTTCATGCAAGTGCCTTAGGAAAATGAAGATCCTTAACCCAGGAAAAGGGCATGTGCTGGGAGTCATTTCAGTGGTGAAGGAGGTGATGTTGCAGTGCTGCAGATCTGATTTTCAGAGTGCAGCCTGGGGTGAGGTGGATAAGCAGATGTGAATGTGTTGCCAAGTGGGGCAGTGGGTTTAACGCTCTGGTGAAATGATCCAGTCTCACACGGCGAAGGTCAGTCCTTACCAAGCACAGGACTAACCTCGTGTAAGGGTCACAGATTTACAGACACCCATGTGTTTGCTTTGGTGAATGGAATCAGTGGCCACTTGAGTTTCTGGGTCCTGGGAGACATTAATTGAGTTGGCTGCAGCGTGTTGGGAATCCTGCTGAGCGAGGCTGCCGGTGCGGGCTGATCAATCGTGGTTTGATCGATCGTGGTTTGATCGATTGTGGTTTGATCAATCTGTTTTTGATTGATCGTGGTTTGATCGATTGTGGTTTGATCAATCTGTTTTTGATTGATCATGGTTTGATCAATCATGGTTTGATCAATTGTAGTTTGATCAATCGCAGTTTGATCAATCTCCTTTTGATCGATCGCAGTGCCACCATTTTAAAATTTTTATTGTTTCAAATAAGGTACCTACATGATGGTTACTGATACAGTGAATGATGCTTCTGAGCTGTGCTGAGTTTAAAAGACCCTTGGGGTGGATATAAAGCTTCCCATTAGACTTTGAATGTTTTCTGGCCAGTATTTCTTACTTTCTATGCCTCTTCATGTTTATTTTTAGTGTGATCTAGTTATTAAAATGCCTGTGTATGTATGTTTGAGGTGGGAACCTTCAAAAATCTGAGCTGCACACTTAAGCCACTGCATGCTTACATAAATGTACGAATCCTCACAGGAATGGATCAAAGGCACTCGTGATTTGATTAGGGTACACATGTGGGAAAGGGCACATGGAAATAAGCCTTACTGCATCTGCCAGGCCTGGCACTTATCAAGCTACTGCAACAATTTTATAGCAATCTATTTTTCCAGCTGCAGAAAAAATGCACTGGGGTTTTTTGGGGTTTGTTTTTGGTRTTGGGTTGTTTTTTTTAATTGACCACTGACCAGTCTGTGTTTAAATTAACAAAGGGCATATTAGCTTGTAGGATTTTCTTTTAAGAAAGAGGTTTAGATTTGACTCTCAGGTCTTTGGTGTTTCCAGTCTAATTGTAGTTAGTGCAGTTATCAATGCAATTTTACATTCTTGGAGAGTAAGTGTAATTGGCACAGAAAGCTGGTTTATATTGTAAATGTTCAAAACATTTTGTGGTGTTAAATGTGTCTTTAAAAATTTTGGAATAGATATAATACCTAAACAGATAATATTTTATTTCTTTTTCTTTAAAATGTCAGCAGCATGTAAATAAAATATGCTTTTTGGATGTAAATCTTAGAAATCCACAGTGAATGTAGGTTATTAATAAATAATTTAAATCTTGATGTTCAATATTGTGTACATACAGTAAAACTGCTTGGGTTTCTTTTGCTCAAAGCCATAGGAATGTAACTGAAATGACCTAGATTTGAATGAACCTTCTAGTACAGTGTATTTTATTGTAAAGTAAAATGTTCATATTCCAGTAAAACTGCTAATTTGATACTAAAACTTTGAATCATTAATTCTTAATTAGTGATTTAGGAGATTAGATGTAGGGTTGAGGAGGTGGTTAAAAGTCAGGTGGGATGATAATAATTTTTTCTGTTTATTAAATAGGAGTGTGGAATTGGTGGAATATACCTCGAATGAGCATATTTTGAATTTCTTATTTCAGCTATTTAATGGCACAAATTAGAAAAACATTGTGTCCATTTATAGGGTACCATTGTTCAGGATTAATACCATTCCCAGCTGAATATTCTTTTGAGTCTTTTGAGAGACTAGGGAAGTGTGTGCCTGACCTTGAAAATCATAATTCTAGTTCACCCTTTGTACCAATTGTTTTCTCATGTAAAGTATATTAATTTAAGCTAGCGTATTTTTTTTTTATCTTGTTTAGTTACTTTAAATCTATTGTTGGTTATTTATATCCAACACTTTGTCTCTATTTTCTACTTTCTTCTGTGACTTTAAAAAAATGAAATAAAATTTCACAATTACCACTACCTAGTATGATGTTTARTATCTTTTGTACCTTCTTTCCACCTCACTTGCTGTAACTTTTTGAAATTCAGGGCTTGTGAAATCATTGCTGTTAAATCCTGCTAGGAACAGCAGCAGTGAACTATTGTGTTTATTTYAGCAGTGATTTAAACATGTCTTCTAGTTAATAGCGAATGTGTTAATTCCTTGCAGTTGTAATTGTTCATTAAATCTCCCAAAAGAAGCTGAACATAAGGATTCACCCTTGTCTGCCATCAAATTGTGCCTGCTTTCTTTTTTCTGTRGTGATGCCACATAAAAATTTCAGTGTTCTGGCTTCAAGCATYTTCTCTCCAGAAGGAGCAGCCATACTGATAATGCAGATGTGATCAGGTGTAACAGTTGCTTTCTTCAAAGCTGAAGATAATGAAAGGTTGTTGTTCTCTGTACCAGGACATAAAAATGAGATATTGAAAAACCTTTCTGACCAGCTTGCTTCCTCAGATCCTTACAGTTTAGCACACTAAATATKAATGTTTCCTTCGTTTGCACTTTTTCTTGTAAGTATTGGAATGAAACTGATCAGGTTAAAAATAATTTTATTGAAATAAAACTGATTGCTTGTTTCTATGCTGCTTGCTTACCTTCCTAAATATATGCCATCTATATAAATCGGAAGCACAGAATGAATTGTCGAGTTCAAACGATGGAAATTCTGATTTGAAACTAGAAAACCATGCTGTAGTTGGTTTCTGTCTTTGTTCCATTTTCCATTTGTTTGGTTTACTTTTGAAACCACCAATGTAGGCATTGAGTGTGCTGCTATTACCATTGTAAATGCATCTGAACCAGAAGTGAACACTGAACAGGAAAAAACAGAAATAATATTCCAAGTATTGTATCTGGAAATGCTGAATGGGCCACAGCATTTATATGGTTTTTTATGTCATGAAAATTTGTATAGCTTCCCATTTTCAAGGTCACTAAGTCATGGGGTCTTTTAGTCATTTGGCTTTTTAAAAATGAACCATTTAATACATAAAATAGTTAMAAGTAAAGATTTCTTTTCTTCAGGTGTTCATATTGTTCCTATCTCCAGTTGCAGGTAAGAGCAAATGTTTTTGTTTTGAAGACATAAAAAACACCCAAACTGGAATCTGTTTCTCCCAGGAAGTCTGTTACAAAAGGATATTAATCTCTCTTTCACAGGAATGTAAAGCTGTAGTGGCATCAAARTCCTTTAATGATGTTGCAAAGTTCTTTGTATAAAACTCTTTTTATAARCAAGGCATGATTTATTCTATGTACYAGAATCTTTCAGTGATATCTGTGGTTTACCTCTGACTAATGCTCCTGTGTATGTTTATGAGCCTGACTGCAAGTTATTAGGTATGCACAGTGTAGCAGAGGAATCCAGATGTTCACACAGAATTCATTCAAACCCTGTGGTAATTATATACTGTAACTGATAGCAAAATTATATGCTAGAGAAAATTAACTAATTTGTGGCACACTAGCATGGAAAGCCACCCTTAGTAAGTGCCATATCGAGAATAAGGAGGCAGTCAGTTCCTTGGACTCATAACCTAAATTTTATCTAGCTAGAGTGCTACTATATTTATAGTATATTGTATAGTATATTGTAGTATATACATATATAAATATATAACAGGTTATTTTTTAATTGACAGCTGAAAATAAAAAAAACCAACTTCTGTGAAGATGGTTTTATTTAAAGGAGAACTCTCAGTTTCTCAATCACAACTAAATAAATGGAATGAAGCATGAACAGTTACAATGACATGACAGTGTTGGATCTCAATAGGTGCTTCCAAAAATAAATTAAAATTTAGGGTGAAAAAGGAAACGTCTTAATGCACAATGATCCATTTGTTTGAGACACAGTAATTATGAAGCTTTATAGAATAGGTGCTACTCCTATAAAAACGTTTATATCTCTGTGCTTAGAATTACATTTTATTTAATTAAAACTAATCATTAGTTTAATCAAACTAGTTATTCATTCCAGGTTATCTGCTGGTTGGAAGTAGGTACTCAATTTCTGTGCATAAACAGCTGTGGCACAGAGAAGCTAAAATTAGTCCATYTAATTCCTCACTATCATGACCAAAATAATTACTCAGTACAAKAAAAATTAAAATTGTCTCTAGATAATTTTAGATTATATAGATTTAGATATATTTGTTTGGATAGGATACTGTCAGATAATGTATCATAGATTGTCAATGTGCAACTGCCTGTGTTTATGTTATTAAGAAAAGATAATGGAGACACCAYCACTTATGATTACAATTCATTTTTTAACTGAAAAATTCCTAGGCATGCCAGGGACATGAGAGTAATGGTTATGTTAAAATTATTGAAAATTTTGCTATAGRTTGCTTTCCACACAAAGCCCATTTAGCACAAGTCCCTGAATACTTTTGCATTTACCCACRTTTGCCACCGAGTGACACTGTTTCTCAATAAATGAAGAGCAGCATTGAGGGCGATGGGATTTTCTTTACAGTCTTGGGATTCCAAATGTCTCAGTAATACTTAGATAATTATGTGAACTTGAAATGCCATCAAGTTGTTAAAAAAAAACAACTACTTTTTGAGGTTCTAAAGTTAGTGCTATTTAGATGGAGTAGCACATTTTCATTTAAGCAGCAACGACGTAATAAAGTTTTTAGTTTTAATGTATGTAAGTATTTCTTTACCTAAATATATCTTCCYCAAAATATTTTTACATGCTTTATTTCATCATTTATTATAATTTGATATGGTCTTTTATTATGACAGAAGTTGAAACACAAAGCCTTTTAAGGGTCATACAAGAGCAGATATTGCTCTCAATAACAGCAAGTGCTGAGTGTGAACATCTCTGCAAATGCTCCAGGTATGGAGCCTGTTTGCTTTTATTTGTCAGAAGCCTTCAGAACAGGAAAACAGACACATTCAAGTTAAAGGTCATCCTCCTTTATAAAATTTAAATTGTCATTTATTTGCTATAGTGGTAGGGAAGAAAAACCTGAGGAGGGGCGCGCTGGGGCTKTAATTTTTGTGTGCTTCAGATTTATTCTGTTCTACTCACCCTCACAGAAAATAAAAGAATTAAGACAAGAAATTAGAAGTTTCTAAACTATTCAGTTTTTGAGTTGTCCCTTGGTTTCCTTTTTTTTTTTTTTTCTTAGATGGGAAGGAATTAAATGCAAATTCAAAATTTCATCTTGTAATCTTGCAATGTTAAGTACAGCATAAGCTCCTTTTCCTCTTTTTAAAATGGGTTGTTAAGGCTGTGTTACTGCAAAGTAACAGTTGTATGTCTTTTCTAGGTATACTATATATATATATTCTGCAGGTATCAACATTTGCTAAAAGTATTCCAGAACTAAAAATACAGTTTTCCATAAGAAAAATACATATATTTAACTTACAAAACTTTAAAATTTGTATTGTATAGATCATGCTATTTCTGAGAACCTTTTTAAGACTCTTTTTTTCTTCTTTTGGGGTGAAGAAAAACACATTGACTTTTATCAAAAGACAGAGAATGTTTTCCTCCATTGGGATTTTTTACATATTTTTCTTTTGGTTCCCTTTTCTTAGTATCAATGGAATTGTGCTGTTCGTTTGCCTCCAACACATATCATTATCYTACTTAATTGGTATGTTTCTAAATCTAATTAGCATGTGTTTAGCCTGTATTGTTAACCCTAATGGATTTCCTTTATTAATACTCAATTGCACATCATTTTTAAGTAAAAGGCAGACTTGTTAAATAGCAGCAATTAAAAAAAAAAAAAAAGATAAAAACAGTATTTATTGTTTCAAAACTATAGAATAATTTTGTTGTATTTGTAAATGTTTTTTCTGGTCTTTTTTCTTTTTCAACCTGTGTAGTTTACCTTTTKTTTCAGGGGCTACAAAGTCTAGGATACCGTGTAACTGCACAGAATCTCTGTCCCTTACATTGTAAGTAAGAATTTATCAGCATTTAATGGATTTTAAAAGCAGTGTGTAGATGAAAGGACAAACACACAGGACATGTGCTTTAAGACAAATGTCATGTATGTGTTAAGAATTATTCATCTGATACTGAGTTCGAAAGATCCACGGCTGATGCAGACATGTGTCACAGAAGTTCAGAATTTCATGCAGGGTGAAGATGACTGCTTATAATCCATAGGAGGAAAAATAAGAAGTGAATATAGAAACATATCTGGAAAATCCTATGTAGAATGTGGATGCTGTATACCAAAATAAAATTCCCCTGTCTTGCTGCTGCTTTCATGCATGAATAATATGCACAGAGATGTACACACAATAATTAAATTTGAGTCTTTGATGGACAAGGTATATTTTAYAAAATGTAAAATTGCCAGAGAGCAGAGCTTTGTCTAGCTTTGGACGTGATTGAACTGCACAGTAACAAACCTTTTTCATTAGTAGAAACTGAACATTCTGCCGCAAAGTAGAACTTAAATTTCAAAACTTACACTTAAACCAGTTAAATTTTCTTTTCATTATTTTCAATGGTTATTCTTAAATACTATGATTGCTTTTCTGATGGTGGTTTTTGCAACAACTGCAACTGCAGCAATTGTTACAGCAATTGAATTCATGAAAATGAGTGATTAAATGCCAGTAAGGTAAAACAAAAAGAAAAAAGAATAATGTACATGTTCGTATCAGCTTCMTGTATAAAAAATATAGTACTGGTTTTTTTCCATTGGTTACATCATTTGAAATATATTACTTTTAGCCAATATGTTACAAAGCTGAGCGTGCCTGTKTATTATTCTTACATGAAGAAATTTAGGGATGTCATTCATTCCCTTTATAGAACTTTGGATTAAAACTAGTGATGTGATAACTGAGTGGTAATTTCTATTCTTTTAAGGGAGTATTCAACCCCAGATTTCATTTCAGAAAGTTTTCTRCTTGACTGGAAAGTTATTGTACCCCAAAGTCAGACAATAATTGAAGGATATGAGGCAGGATCTGACTGTTGCATGCA